ACTTTTAATTTATATATTTAAGATAAAAATTAAAGGAACACTATATTAATTTTAACATCAAAGTTCAAGGGAAGGAAGTTCGATCCTGCTGGATGGTACCATCAATTCTTTTCTTGCAGAAATAAAATAAATAAAATTGTTAGCAAATTATTTCAATCAAGGAGGTAACATCCTAGTGGCAAAAGTCACAGAAAATTTTCTTGAAGTCATGTGTTCAAACCTCCGGGGTAGCAAATTTAAGGTAAATCCTCCAAAGATTTAAACCGTCCGGTTGAACGGTTTTTTTTTTTTTTTTTTTTTTGGGTCATAGAAAAATTTTGTTTGAGTTGAATTGTTAGATCATAACTACGGTAGACATATGCCTCGGACACAAATGCTTGTTAATCGTAGGGGTTCATATTCTTGAAACATGGGAACATGAACATCGTTATAGGGGCAGCAACTGATACGTACATACATATGTATATATATCCACAATCTTGCCTCTCTTTATTTATTTATTTTTTTTCTCTGGGGAGATATATTTCATTCAAAAAGTCAAACTAAACTATATATGCCATGAATAAACTTTTTTGCTATTGTTAGACTTTCTGGATATATTTTGTTCTTGGCTTTTCACTGTTTGACATAATTATGGCATCAAGTAGTAATTGATTCTTACTTTCCTAAAATGTTTTTGTAGGGTGTTTTTTATGTATCTTGTGTTGATTGTTTAATATATTAGTACGGTTGATTTAAATATCCTCATAACTAAATTGTATAGCAAGCCTGTTCATAAATTGTAGTACCATACTAGTTATTCTTTTTATCATATACCTGAAACACAAAACTTCATGAAACATGTAATCCGACTCCAACATCATCTCCCGATAGTAATGCTGGGAATCAATACCACTTTTACACTTTGTCAAATTCCCAAAAATAATTTAAGGCCGCAAGTTAGTCCCCGTTTAATCGGACCCAATCCAGTCCAACCCAATCCATTAGGTTGGATTGGATCATTTTTGGTTTTGGTTTTATTTCGTTTGGACTTTTGTAGATCCAAAAATTTAAGGTTTGGTTTGGATCCAAACGATGGATTAAACATGAAACCACGAAATATACATTAAAACCTAAAATTTTACCCAAAGAAATTAAAACTTAAGATAATAAAGATAATTAAAGAATAACAATCTAAACTTGACTCACCTATGAGTCGAGTGACTCTAACTATTCTTATAAGATTCATATTTTTTTTTGAAGAGCAATAGTTCGAGTCAATTTCATGATAAAATGTTCGAAAAAAAAAATAACAATTTATTTATATATAAATTTTATACATTATATTTATGCCAACTTTTAAGTATTTATTTTTTATTTTTAATGATTAAAATTATAATCATTTTTAAATAATTATAAATATAAATAAATTTTAACTATTAAAATTTTAAAAATAAATAATTAAAATTTTCAATTGACGTAGTGGGTAGTTGTTTGCGCTACCACTACGACCTTTTGGAATTTCCAAATCTCAGCAGTCTCAGTTTCTCTCAATCTCTCTCATCTTCTCTCCGATAAGATTTATTATGCATCCTTTCCTCTGCTCGTCCCTCCCCTCTTCAGCATTCATCTTCTCCCCCACCTTCGGCATTCCCCTTCTCTCTTCCACTTCTCTCCTGTCATCTCCAATTGGATCTGCAGCTTCTTACTTTGCCTTTTGGACTCTTGAATTGATGTTGGGATTTCATGTAATTTGTTTCAAGGGGAAAAGTGTGAAAAAGAGGTGCAATTTTGTCATGAAGTGGTCTCGGTTGTTTCTTCTTTTCTTAGTTTTGGATTTTTTTTTCTTTGGTTATGTTCAATTGATTTTTGGAAGGTTTGACTTTGAGGTGAAGATATGAAAGACTATAGTTTTTTTATTATATAAATATATATATATATATATATATATATATGTGCACTCTACGTATTCGATCAATTGCCTAAAAGGAGTTGCCTTTGTTCCTGATTTCTGTTCTTTAGTTTATGCACTTTTGTTTTTATATATATGTATACAAGTGGGATAAGCATGCTTGAAGAGGTTAAGAAGACTACTGATACAAGGGGGACTCAAGCTACCAAAGTTATTCTACATAATCTTGCAATTAACCAGCTTATTCATTGCAGAGAAATTGCAATCTGAGTTTGAAAAGTTTGTTTCGATTCTAATTCGATCTATTTCTTCTGATTTATAGCTTGTATTGGCCAACCCTGGAGCTAAAGTGATGAAGAAATTTAGCAACGTTGTCCTTAGCAAATTTTGCTAGTCATCGCCCTGCTGCGAGAATCTTGAATCAGTGAAAACGGCGGAAGATCCAAGTAGTATAGATTCTGAAGGCTCCCTTCAAGCAATTGAAGAAGACAAAGAAAACATCGAAGAAATCGAAGAAACCCAAGAGCAAAAGCGTAGTTCCTACAGAACCCAGAGCCTTGAAACCGAGTGGTGGGATAGTTTATTCCACAAGAACTCCACAACCCCAGGTTCCCATTTCTCTACTTTACTCTTATTTTATTTATTTAGAAAGAATTCCAGACGTTTGGATATTATTAATTAATGATGGAATTTAAATTATGAAGATAATTAAATCAACAGTATTAATAGATTAATATAATCAACACCTGATAGATAGAAAGCACCTTATATGAACATTTTAGCACATGCAGTAAGAATCAATTACTACTCGATGCCATAATAACGTCAAAGCGCAAAAAGCCAAGAACAGAATATTATATCCACGTTAAATTAAAGAAAGTCTAACAATAGAAAAAAAAGTTTATTCATGCCATAATTATGCCAAATTTAGTAGAACTGTTAGGATGAAATATGAATTCTCAATCCTGAAGAAGAAACAAAAAAAAAAAGGGGGAAAGTCAAGACTTATAAGCAGGGTAGAACTGTAGAAGCATGATATTGATATCCATGTTAAATTAACAGCAAATTCAACGAAAAAAGGACCAAAAGATCTTGTGAAGGAAAAATCAAAGTACAGAACATATTATCAAACGTAATTTCCATGGGTGTGTTGCAAAAAAGTATACATAACTTATCAGTTTCTGCCCATGATTTTATCCATCATCTTCTTCATAGCATTTTTCACCTCAACAACAACCCTGCAAAAGCCATATATAAAGAACAATTTAGCAAACCCATAGATATTTATATATGTATGTATGTATGTATGTATATATATAATCCAATAACAATTTAGGAAAATAGAATTGTTGAAAAACAAAATCAGAGCAAGGAAAGGGACCTCAGCCTTCCTAACATAGGTCCACCAAAAAATGCAGTTTCAATTGGCTTGCGAAACTCCACAAATCCCAGGAAAACCTTAGCATTATACTTTATCATACTTGGATCTATAGGAGTCCACAATTCTGCGTCCATTCCATCAATATGAGCATACACAAAAACAGGATTGTCTTCATTGTCATTGCCAAAAATGGTGCTGGGGATAAGGTCTATGTGTGCCCCAGGCAAGATCTCTTCCTCCATGATCGTTTCCCCATTAATTCCCCTTCTCTTGACATGAAACACAAGCGGTGCCCATTGGCTTCTGTTTTCAACACGCGTTGTCTTTGAGAGCAAAGTAACTAGTGGACTGCCCAAAAGAAACAGATCAGTAAAATTCTTCAACATACACAAACCCAAACCCCAAGTCAATTCCCTTTTTCTCTTTCTCCTAGTTTTCTTCAACGTCACATCGCCAATATTCAAGAACAGCATTCTTCATCTAACAGTATTACATTACATTCATATATATACTAAGAAAGTGAAAGAAGCAAAATTTTCGAATCCATTCATTCATCCAGGGGAGCTAGACTTTCTACTGAGACTTTATGTACTATGCTGTGACAAGAAAAAAATTTTAGGACTCTTCAGCAATAATTTTTATAAGGACTGATCTGAGAATCTGAGAAAGTTAAAGACTACTGTCTTTTTTTTTTTTTCCTAAATTTGAAACAATGCAATGTCTAATTTGCACTTTTTCTAAATTTGTATTTTGTAATGGCATTTCTGTCAAAAGTCTAACACCAACTACCTATTAACAATTTTAACACCATGCAAAGAGTATATATAAACAATATGCTTAATAAAAAACATTGCCATTGCTACAATTTCATGAGAAGAGTTCAAATATATGCTCCCATTCTCAGGTAATATTTAACCGGTGGCAATTGTTGGCCTTGGATTGTGGATGGAGACGAGTGGGGTTTATGGATTGCTATGATGTTCAAATATTAGTTTTTTCTTTCTTTTTTGGTAAGAAAACAAAATATCAGTTGCTGCCCCTACAATGATGTTCATGTTCCCATGATGTCCAAGTCCAACAACTCGACCCACACATAGCCAAGGGAATATGTTTCAAGAATATATGAACCCCTAGGATCAACTAATCATAAGGAAATTCATTGCCTATTTTCAAAAAACAAAAAAAACAAAAAACTAATTATAAGGAAATAGCGTTTCCTATGGGACTAGAATAGGAACATAGACATTTTAGGAATTAAAAACTTGAATTTTCATATTAAAATTTTCAAATTCAAATTTAAAAATAGGTGAAGAGAGGTTTGATAAGAAAAACTATTTTTTATTTTATAACTCATTATTTGATTAAAAAAAAAAATTGACAAGGAAATAGCAAGATCAGGCCAAAAAGACAATCACCACCAACAAACCCAGTTTCTCCCCTCTCAAATTTCCACCAGCAAACCATTAGATCCAAGACCATCCAGGCTGTTCAACTCAAACTAATTTTTTTTTCCTATTTTATTCATTTCTAAAGGGAAAAAAAAATGTAAGAAGAACAAGAAGAAAATAGGGAGAGCCGAAGCCATGCACTGGAAAAGGGGGATCTTATGTTAGCTCATGGTTTCTAAATGCTTTGCAGTTTTGTTGGAAAGGTAAATAAGGAGGCTACCTATGGCACCAAGCAACATAAATTCTCCAACTTTGGCTTTGGAAGCAACAGGGTATATATTTCGCTGTTGTTTGTCTTCATGACGTACAGATTAATTTTGTTGTTTGTGGAAGCTTGATTGGTGGCCCTTTATATGTCACATATATTGACGGTTTGTTATTGCATTCAGAAAAGAAAAGGGATGAAAAGGTTAAAACCAAGCCTTAGAAAGTTGAAGGAAGATCTTGGTAAGCAGCAAAAATGCATCAAGGAAGCAAAGAAAAGTTAGATAGTTTAAAATGATTGAATCTCAATATTGTCACCAACCTCAGCTGGAAGGAAACTCAGTTCATTTCCCAGCGGAGTGCTGCGATGCGTTTTTAGCTTGCCTTTGTCTTTCAAATTCTCAAGGCAAGAGAGGCAAACGATTTCAACAAAGCTAATGACCTTACTCGCTCTCTCCGGTTAGTTTCAGATAATTAGTCCTTTTTTATTAAAGTGCTTTTCTCTCAATCTCTTCTCTGTTTCAGAGAATTTGGCATAAATTAATGAACA